TGCACAAGGAAATCGCGGGCGTGTGTTGTCGTAAACAAGAGGTTAACTTTTGATATGTCGATATCATGTCATGAGCACACTTCAGTAATTATTTAATCACAATCTGTTTACTAAAGAACTAGGTTGATGTCCTTGGTTCTAAGGTTACACTCTACAGTTGGCCCTAAGGCAGTTTCTATCTACCGCGGTAGACTTGTATGCAATGTGATATGCAAATTTTCTGCATATACAGCCTTGTGTCTACCGCGGTGCGGTAGATTAAGGCTTACCGCGGTAGGATAATTTGGCGACGCTCCCTTACCGTACGAGTAACTACACTGGAATCCAAAATTTCTCTCAAGCGATTAGAGTTAGCCAACTAGAGGACAAGACAATGCAGTGGGTGATAGAAGCTAAGGAATCGGGCGGTAGTAGACCGGCATGGGATGCTGTTGAACCAGAGTGTAGAGCATATTGGGTTCTCTGGGACGCACTCCAGGTACGCCAAGGAGTCCTACACCGAAAGTGGGAGTCACATGACGGACGGGATATAACTTGGAAGCTAGTTGTACCGAGCCCCTCCGACAAAAGGTAGTGAACGAGGTGCACGGGAGAAAAACGAGTGGACACCTGGGCGTATTTAAATCCCTTGGAAAGCTTAAGCAACAGTATTACTGGCCCTGTATGGACGCTGATGTTCGATCATGGATTCGATGCTGTGAGATATGTGCTCGGTGGAAGGCACCACCGAAAAAGAAGAGAGCCCCCTTACAACAATGGCCAATTTCCAAGCCCCTCGGACGTGTCGCCATGGACATCCTCGGACCATTCCCGGAATCCTACCACGGTAACAAGTACGTCCTGGTAGTCGGCGACTACTTAACTAAATGGATGGAGGCATATGCAATACCGGACCAGACTGCTGAAACAATTGCAAGAAAATTTGTGGATGAGTTCGTGCTCAGATTTGGCATTCCCCAACAACTCCATACAGACCAGGGGCGCAATTTCTAATCTGTATACTGGCAGAGATATGCAGGCTTCTCTGGATTTTCAAAACCCTGACTACACCTTATACCCCGAAGAGTGACGGGATGGTAGAGCGATTTAATCGCACACTAGTCAACATACTCGCTGTTTCTCTTGAACTGGTGAAAGCTCAGAGGGACTGGGATGATTGGTTGCAGTATGCCACGTTTGCAATCTGGAAACCCCTTATGAATCTACGGGTGAAACTCCCAACATGTTGATGTTTGGCCGAGAGACACGGATTCCTGTGGATTTGCAGTTTGAAACGGTACTACCAGAAAACCCTGAACAGGACCAAGCCCAAAAGGTACGAGATAAGATTCAGCAGGCGTCTGAAAGGGCCAGAGTGGTGTTGAAACGCAGTGCTAGGAGACAAAAACGCTTATATGATCGGATTGCAAACGAACCGGGCCTAGCAATTGGTCAATTTGTTTGGCTGTTTGACCCGACCAAAAAGCGAGGTCTCTCCTCAAAGTTGGAGTGCCGTTGGAAAGGGCCATGGCGTATAACCCATAAATTGTCGGAGGTAACTTTCAGGATTAAAGAAAACCGAACGGTAAAGGCAAGATAGTTGGCCCAGTGAACCTGAACCCTGTGCCGGAATTGCTGGGAGCATCCGGTACAATGCAGGATCTGGACGAACCCACTCAAATGTCATCTGTACCTGAACTACCACCACCAACTCCAACGCTGCAAGCACGCAACGAGCAAATGGAATCCGAGATGTTAACTGTACCAGAATCCCTAGGGACATCTATTACAATACCGGATCTGGGCCGACTCACTGAACCTGGAATGTCAACGGTACCTGAGTTGCCAGTGCAACCTGCAGCGCCGCAGGTTCGGAACGAGCATATCAAACCTAAGAACGTTGGATCATTGAAAGCGAACGAGACTGGACGAAGTAGATACCCTAAAAGGCAGCATCGGCGTCCAATTCGCTTCCGTAATGATTCTTCTCCTTCATTTCTGATGAGTGAATGCAGACAGTGCAGGTAGATAGTTCCCGCCGGTAGTCCCATGCGCCGGCACCGGGAGGAAAAGCACCCGAAGCCTGCCGGAAATGCGGTGGACTATTCAGTAACAAGGAAGGGAGGAGACGTCATGAGGAGAGGAATCACCGAGATTTGGAGAAACGGGCACAGCCATGCGTGAAAGCACCTGCCAAGGAGGCAGTAGAACCCCCCGGGGGAAGAGTTAGACCTGGGTCTTTCACCGGAAGCTCTTGATCTGCTGGAGGAGGAGACCCGGGACACACTGACGCCTAAAATCAGGCGAGTGTCAGGAGGAAAACCACCCCTCCTGAGCTCACCGGACAGGAACCAGGCCAGGACAAATCGACGGAAAAGGGAAGATAACCCTCTGGCGCCAGTGTCTATGGAAGCCTTGCTGGGAGACCGTGTTGAGCGAGTAGTGGAAACATGGGAGAGCTCGCACTACCGTTTGGGAGATGATGAGCATGGCGTCTATCGAGTGGACAAGGTCAAGCGGGAATACATCCTCAGGAAGATCTAATCTAATCCCCTGGGCTCTTAAGACCCCAGGTGGAAGTTACCCAGAGGCATACTAGACCCTCTGAGGATAGGCTTAGTTTAAAGTTAAAAAGTTATAGTTAAATTTTATAGTTGAAGTTATTGTTGTTTCCAATTTTGTATTTCTGTATTTATGCATGGGTCCAGGGGACGAACCCATCTGGGAGGGGGGTTATGTAACAAAATTGGTCCCCTTCCATCATAGTGGAAGGATCCTTGGGGACGCGCACGTGGCTGCCCCTTTAAATGTAGGTGCAGCGGCGCACGGCGTCAGTTCGGCCACACAGTGCACCAGTGCAGTAGTACCCGAGTAGCCGCTGTACCCGGTTATTACACATGTGGTGGTCCACTTTGTCATTGGATTAAATAAAGTAGCCAACTATACCGGCTAACCGGACCTAGATACATTGCTTCTAGTCATTATTTCCTGCTCTCCTGTGTATATACTGCCGTGGTGAGTATATTGCGTGAGAGTTTGTGATGGTGTTTGTGTGAGAGCAAGTGTAGAACCAGTCAGTGGAGTATATCTACTGCCGAACCCGGGCTATATAGAAACTTTTAATAAGTGTGTAGAATTTGTTAATACGACAAGGAAGAAGTACATATGGAAATCATGTCACAAAATATGCAGCAAGCACTTTATTTACTACAGAAGACAACATGAATTACCTCATGAGATCAGAGATGGATAAGCAGGGAGTCAAAGTGAAGTTCAGGCTGAATCCGAAAGCTTTTCCAACTATTAGAGCACTAGTAAAGGACAGTGAGGAAGAAGATGTTGGGGAAATGCCATCCCAGACCAAAAAAAGAAAGACTACGAAATCTGCATACCGGCGAAAACGGGAGGTTGAAAGTGTAAGGAAAGTAGCTAGCCTAGCCTAGGTAGCATACTAGCTAGCCTAAGCCTAGGCTTAGTCTAGTGTGGGTGTGGGGGGTGGGTGTGGGGGGGAAAGTGTGGTGGCTAGCCCTAGGCGGCCCTACCCGACGTAGGCCTAGCAATTTTGGCCAAAGATTGCTACGAAGATGGATGCACAAAATCGTACCTTACTAATCAATACTACCGCAAACTACTAAGGCCTAGCAGCAGCAGCAGTCCTGGGGTCTACTACTAGTAGTACTACTAGTATTAGGCCCTACTATCTATCTAATCTACCCTATGCCTAGGCCCCTTGTAGGCCTAACAGACATGTCTTCCCTTTCGCCGTAGGGCCTAGGCCTAAGTCTTCAAATCAAATCTTACAGACATCACACGCCGGCAAAACTTATGCTTATCCTAAAATTTGAGAAAATTTTGTTTCTTTTTCAATTTGTAATGAATATTACATTATGTGTCACCCGATCTTCTCAAGGTTGACAGGTATGGCCTAAACAAAATATTCAAAAATGATTGAAAGTTTGCTGTAACAATAACATGGAATTATACACTCACTAACCTTGGCTTAGCAAGATAAAATCAATAATACTAACTAGGCCTAGGCTAGCTAGGCTAACAGCGTGTACTTACCTACAGTAGGCCTGTGTTATAGGCCTGTGGCATGAGCGTGCATAATTCAAGGTTGCATGTCAAAACAGTATTGATTGGCAGAACACTTTTCACTCATTTCCTTTAAAAGGAAATGATTTATTTATTTTTCAGATTCTATTAGACAATGACCAGGTCCAAGAGGAAGTGGCTGGTACATCAGTATGTAGTAGATATTTTTTTCTGATTTTTAAAAAAAGATTTATTAGCTTGTCTTTATTAGCTTTCCCACGGCAGTGGGAAAGCTATTGCTTCTATTCTTTTTTGTTTTGTTTATTATTTTTCTTCAAAAAGCCTTTGTTTATTAGCACAGGGATTTCCTACCCTCCACTTTGGTAATTTTCCAGACTTCAATAGCCTTTAAACTTGGCCCAAGCAAAGACTATGATAATACCAAGATGTACCAAAAAATATGTCATTCTACATATTATGATTATTATATTTCTAAAGCATTTCAGTGCAATATTACCATGAACTACATAAACAACATATAAAATTTAGATAGACCATTTTCTCTATGGATAGACTAAGAATTCATTGACCCAACAGGGCCAGGTTATAATAGTGCATTGTTAAGGTTATAACTAGATCCACTTCACCGTTGCCTTTACCATCACAGCCCTACTTTAGTTGCAGTCTCAGCCGAATCAGGTTGTTTTTTATGCAATTTTTTTCATATTTGAGGCATGTCATGGCGAAATGGTTAAGTTGTCGCACAGACCAGTATGGAGTAAATGAGCTATAAAATATGGGAGCTCAAAAAATTGCCTAAAATTCAAATTTGTTTTTCACTATAGATCAACAGTTTAATGTCTTATAAAATCATGTCCCAAAGTATTAGTTCTGGAAGTGGTCAAAAAATCGTTTATTTAACATTTTTTTAGATAGTTAATTCTACTGTATTAAAACAAATAACTTTGGAAGGCAATACTCAAAATTATGTTTATCTTGACTCTAAGAATGCTATACTTTCACATTCCAATAAATTAGGCTTGAAATGTCCAATTTCAATGAATGACCCCTCATATTAAAGATCACATACTCAGGTATCTGAAAATACCAATAACTTGAATTTCAATTTTTGCTACAACATAGCCATTTTGCCACAACATGCCTCATTTTTCAGCTTTATAATTTCAACATCAATTCTCATTATGTAAGTGAGGAAACCCGTACTATATGTTTTGTTTTACAAACAGACATAGTACAGTATGTTTAATTGTACATTAGGGAATATTTTGAAATTTAATTATATGTATTACTGTACAGCAGTAGTAGTAGTATAGTAATTCACTATAATTTTTACACCAGGCTCAAGGAAAATCAAGGTTGGCAGGTATTGATTGTAGGCTTTACATTGAGAGGGTTTGAAATATAACATTGTTTTGTTTTATTATGTTTTTTACATTAGATAGAAAATACATTTTCATTAACATGTTATTGTTTCAAAATAAGACTTTTGTTTCTATTTAATTATTATAAACACTAAAAGTAACATTCAATTTGAAGAAATGTTCTTCATCCAACAGTCATTATATTACATGTTTTACGTTATTGTCTCATGAAATTGCATTACACACTAACAAAAATGTTCAACTTATAATCAACAGTATATCTTAATATTCTTTGTTCTACCTTTAATCGACATTATTGTAGTTTAAAAGTGATCATTGAAACCTTTCTAATAAGATTTGTGTAGATTTTGCATGGTGAGTTTTGATTGTTTTGAACATGTGATATCTGATAGAAAATCAAGAATGCTTACTATTTTATATTTTGCCCATTTTAAAAACTCACCATTCAATGTTGTTCATCCTGTGACACTGCGAATGTAATGCAACCGACTCCTGTGATACATAACATTTCTAACAGTGTAGAACACTGTAGATGCAATTAAATTTAAAGGATTCTGTCATTTTAAATTAAATATCAGACATTAGTACACTACGAGTCATAATAATTAATATCTATATTGCGCAAAGTAAATGTCCGTCAAAATAACGTACGCAGAATGATGTGTCCATCAAATAACATACGAAAATTAATCCACATATTTGTTTTTATTTAACATTCTTTAGGCTCAATGTAACTTTTAACCTAGTGCCAATATTTTATGTCTTTACTAGAAATTTTAAATAAAAATATACTCACAATTTGGCTGTAGAGACATTTAAATTGGAACTGCAAAGTTCCCACTAATATTCTTAAGGCAGATGAACCTATCGGTATTCACATTGAAGATTTGTTTTTAAGCATTAAAAGGTATAGTTATCTGTGATTTATATGGCCAAAACAGACAAAATATTTTGACTCATATATGCAACATCATAAAATATTGCAGTATGACCAAGTATTATACAACTATTTTTTGCAATTTTATTTTCAATTTAATTAAATTTGTTAATGGAAAAATCTCATAGAAAAAAAGAAACAAATGTTATTCAAATTCAGAAATTTGGGAAACCACATTCACAATAGACCGAATCGGCGACTCCAGCTATTACTGGTCACGTGACATATAGTGGGTACTAAATGTAAACATCCACATCGTAAACCACAGTGCACTCATTGAACACAGTACATTGAGAAAATTATGCTTTATAAACAGCAGTAGGCTTGTTTTTTTAAATACTGATTTTTAATTACTCTGGTAATCTCAGTGCATTTTATTTAGGCTCTGGAATGCTACTACTGTACGGGTGGCTACACACAGGTAGGCCTGGGCTGCACTGTGAGTTTTAAGCCTTAACCAGGACCCAGAGCAAGGAGGGAGTTCTTATACCTCAACTCTATATCTCTGTAGTCGAGTACTAAGTAATAAAGTAGAAGTACAATAGTATGTAGTTGTATGAACTGTATCTCTTTTTTTTCTAATATTATTGTATGCTGTTATAAACTATATAATAGTCCAAAATGGAAGAAAAGTGATGCCCGACACTTTTAAAGGCAACTCTACAAAAAAATTCATAATTTTTAATAACAAATTTGTCTAAACATACCACATGTAATAAAGCAGGGTCTATGCAAACACTGTTACATTGCAGAGTATGACTTTGTAGATAAGTCAATAGATAATAACAGCCTGGAGTCATATTCCTTGCATATGCTCGAGTGTGTTAATCAAATCAAACAAAAGATTTCACCATTACCAACTTTACATAAGATCTACTTCAAAAAAAATTTCGAATGGTATCACAAATTCAAGAAATAAGAAAATCTAGCAACCGAACTGAAAGAAAATCAGTTTTAAAATGTGCAAAAAATGTTGGTGTTTTTACAGTTGATTTGAGGACTTAGCGGTTATTTAGGAATTATAACGCTTTATAGGTTTAAAATGACTCCAAAATCAGTTCAATTTACCGATATGGTCAGTTTCTAAGCTTTTTTTTATCATGAATTCCAACCACATACAGTACCAAAATTTGAACAAAATTTAAGAGATTGGTGTTTTTTTTTTTTCTTTTGGTTGATTTGACATGGAATCACCCATTAGGTAATTAGGTTGTTTCAAAAACAGTTAGAACTTGCTTAAGTCGAATCCAAAATGCTATTGTAAAATTGTTTGACATTTACCAAATTAGAAAGTTGTAGACGTACAAATCAATAAAAAAACACCATCAATCTCTCAGATTTTGTTCAAATTTTAGTGTGTAGTTGGAACCTGTGCAAGGCTGTAAAAAGTTGATGGTCCTGGGTCCAGGACTTGAGTATGTTAAAATTAGACCAATATTCTACAGCTGATATACAGTATAAGTGCTAGCAACTGATCTAGGCCTCTTAATTTTAAAAACCAAACTGCAGAAAATAGATGTTAGGTCACTTAAAAATTCAAGGTTGAAATTCCTTCTGAAATAGTGGTAGTGCTAACATGAGCAGGGGGAATTTTCCTTCTCCCTTTACAACTGGCCTAGATCCCTCTCTTCCAAAACCACAACAAGGTAGTTGGAACACAAAATAATAAAGTTATAATTTGGTCAGACAACCTTGTTGTGGGCGACAGGGTGTTCTGGCGATTTTGGTTCGGTAAACAAAGCCAGGAAAATTAGAATGGATAGATGAATTGTCGACCCTGGGATCTTTAAGGCAGAATCCTGTAGCCATAGACACTATAACATATGAAACGAGTACATTTTCGTCGAAATAGGAGTAAGATTTTAGTTGAGAATACCGAATTTTCGTGACGAATTAAGTTGGATCAGCACATTTCAGGCGGTGACTGATGACATATAGGTTTTAAAAAATCCTGAACGGGATTTTTGGTCGGGATTCCCGATAAAGTGGGATACCTATCAGTATCCCGATTAAGAATCCTGACCAAAAATTTTGGTCGAAAACATCATGAACCAAACAAAATCCCGCTCCAAAACCCCGAACGCATTTTTGGTCAGGATTCCCAAAAAATTGGGGTATCGATTGGGATCCCAATTTTTTCAACCAAAAATTTTGGTAAAAAATGCTATGATCCTGGCAAAACCCTGCCGGGATCCCCCAGCATGATCCCGACAGGGATCCCTAAACAATTTTTTTATAGGGTAATGCTGTCTTGACAAACAATTCATTGCCAATGACAAACTTGTGTAGTGTTTGTCACTTTGACTTTAATTGATATAAGTGGCTAAAGTGTAAAATAAACCTATGCAATAGCTTTGCAATATACAGCAATAAAAACATTTACGGTATACATATTTGGTTAATAAATTCAACGGTTTTTAATGTACAATGTATGAATGTGTTATTTTTAAGCTTAAACATTACAGTTTGTTGCATTAAATTAACTTCTTGCCTAGAATGAAAAAAAAAAATTTGCCACATGTCAAAGTTACCCGAAATACGGAGTAATTTGACAGCCTGTGAAATACGCTGTGGTTCGTACCAAAATTCATCGATTAAATTTTTTTTTTATTGATGTATGCAGAAAAATGTCAAGAATATATCAAAAACCTGTCAAACCCCGTTTTACAAACATCCTATGATTCAATTTTGGATTTAAAATAAATGTAAAATAATACTCTTGCAACGAATGGGGTAATTTGTTTTTTTTTTCATGCACATAATATATAAAATTAATAAAATGATTTAAAATGAATGTGTGTATTATAAAACACATTTCTAACTGTTTATGATGTAATAATGTTGGTAGTTGTATGAACTGTATCGTAATTCATTATAATGTTTGTTTTTGTAGGATGGCATCACAACATTAATGTACGCTGTGGACAGCAACGCACTAGATGACGTATTGGAGAAATGATTGAAACGGCGACTGTCGAGAATTTAGAAACACAGACGGTGAGTGGAATTAACTATCATTGCATTTTAATCATCACAAGCACTAGATGACGTATTAGAGAAATGATTGAAACGGCAACTGTCGAGAATTTAGAACAACAGACAGTGAGTGGAATTAACTATCATTGCATTTTAATCATCACAAGCACTAGATGACGTATTAGAGAAATGACTGAAACGGCGACTGTCGAGAATTTAGAACAACAGACGGTGAGTGGAATTAACTATCATTGCATTTTAATCATCACAAGCACTAGATGATGTATTGGAGAAATGACTGAAATGACGACTGTTGAGAATTTAGAACAACAGACGGTGAGTAGAATTAACTATCATTGCATTTTAATCATCACAAGCACTAGATGACGTATTAGAGAAATGACTGAAACGGCGACTGTCGAGAATTTAGAACAACAGACGGTGAGTGAAATTCACTATCATTGAACTAGATGACGTATTAGAGAAATGATTGAAACGGCGACTGTCGATAATTTAGAACAACAGACAGTGAGTGGAATTAACTATCATTGCATTTTAATCATCACAAGCACTAGATGACGTATTGGAGAAATGATTGAAACAGCGACTGTCGAGAATTTAGAACAACAGACGGTGAGTGGAATTAACTATCATTGCATTTTAATCATCACAAGCACTAGATGATGTATTGGAGAAATGATTGAAACGGCGACTGTCGAGAATTTAGAACAACAGACAGTGAGTGGAATTAACTATCATTGCATTTTAATCATCACAAGCACTAGATGATGTATTGGAGAAATGACTGAAATGACGACTGTTGAGAATTTAGAACAACAGACGGTGAGTAGAATTAACTATCATTGCATTTTAATCATCACAATCATACAATATACAAATACCTTAAACTCAATTACCATGATTTATTTCATGTTGGGTTAAAAATGAGACTTATTTCATGACTTCTTTGACATATTTTACAACTCAAAAAAAGCCTATTTTACCAAGACGACAAGAAAGGGTGCTGTGAGATTTCAAAATTTCTCGACAGGTTGGTGATCCGGGACAAAAGGAACAAATTGTAATTCACTAGCTGTGATGGTTAAAACCATGAGTTTGGGAATTTAAATTCCACACTGTCCACTTGGCTGTGTCCTAGGGCAAGGCAATTCATCTGCATTTGTCTGTCCACCTTGGAGTATAATTATAAATAGGTACATAATATTTACATAAACTGGTTAAATAAATGAAAAGAGTGATCATTGGTGTAAATTGCCTGCAATTGATAGTGTGAACATTTTACTGTTAAGAAGTTGGTAATTGAGTTACCGCATATTCCGGTGTATAAGCCGCACCTGTGTATAAAGCCGCCCCCCAAATTACGATGCGAAATATCACGATTTTTTGTGTTACCTGTGTATAAGCCGCACCAATTCCCCATAATGTTAAGTTTTTAATTTTTTTGAAACACTGACATTATTTATAAATGTTCACAAAAAGAAATTTCATCTTTTTCGACCGATTATTAAACAACAAACGACGGGAAATTCGTGTAAACTGCTGGCTACTGCCATGTTAACAACATATTCTTGCTCTATTGAGTATGTTTATCTATTAAATATTAATATTAATCATTCGGTATTACGCTAAAAATATTGGTAATTCTAGGCCTAAATCATTACTACTCACAGCCCACTGTGCGAATATTATATATTATTATTATTAGTTTCACCAGCCCACGTGTGTTTTGTTGCGACATCGAAAATGAAGCTGCTCACGTGACCTTGAGGACCGAACTCCCGAAAAGTATTTTGTTATTGTTTTGAGCGAAGCGGTTTCGAACAGAAACAGCGTGTTTAAAAATGAAAATAATTATTTAGGCAATTAACTATTGCTTGAATGTCGTAGAAAATGTAGTAGGAATCCTAGTACAGCACTGTAGTGAGTATAATTAAAAATACTAGGGCTACAAACCGGTCCTAGGCTAGGCTAATTAATTGAGCGAGCATGGGCCTAACCTAGACAGACGGCGCTTGATTTTCGCCACGGCTCGCGATCTGAATTTTTTTTGGGAGTAGGTTAATGACCAGTGTATAGGCCGCACCTCAAACTTCGGCGGGAAAATCGAGTATAAGATTTGCGGCTTATACACCGGTATATACGGTATTATAAGAATGCTATAAAGTTTTGTTTTTTTTTTTTAAATTAGATATTGATCCTCATGAGAAGACCTGCCACCCAAGCTAGCCTCCTCTCGGGCCTAGGCTAACTTCGTCATGCTTAGTCTTACAGCTAGACGGTGATAGCTAGGCCTGCTCATCGATTTTCGAAGATGACAATGCCAAGCTTACAAGATGAACTGCACTTCTCTTGACACACAGGCTTTAGGTGGTGAACTCATACACATTCCATCATTAATGCAAATGATATACAATTTGTAGTGGATGCGATTATATGTCGACTATCACCACAAAATGAGCGATGTGTCGCAACAGGCTGCACTGAGGTATTTGCCCTTGAAGTCAAAAAGTCGAAAATACGGCCTAGATTGTTTTTTCAATTTTGTTAAAAATCAACTCTTTAATATGTATTTTAACACATCCCAAAATTTCAGGCAATAAAAACATCTCAAAGTATGGTTTTTAGGTTGATTTCTGAAGCCTATTCACTACAAAAAATCTCTCAAATCAAACTTATAAAACGTAAATTCTCCCAGCAAACGCCATTTTTCGATCTACATAACGCATTTCACATGGCAGGTCATTGTACTTGGTATCATTAGAAATCCCCGGATGTCCTATAGTAGGCTAGCAGAAAATATTTAAGCCAATAGGAGCTATTTTTATAAGACAGTTTGTTACCATGCAGTGGAAACAAAATCTGCCAAACACCTATTGTAATTGATCAATTTCATACATGTGACGTACTGTGCATGCGTAGTTACAATGTTTACAGTTGTCAAGAAAGCTTTAGATATAGCTAAATTATTCGTACATTTTCTACAAGTTTGTATTTTCAATGTCAGGACAGTGTTGATAACAGCGAAACCGCTGTTTTAGATGCTCTAAACAGCTCCGACTTAGCCTAGGCCTAGACCTGAATGTTATGGACCAGGAGGCTCTAAAAGACCTGATTACAGAATACTTCACCGCTGGAGATGATGATTTTGACGATGAAGACGACTTCGATGATGAAGAAAATAATGGTAGTTACTCTGACCAACCACCAAGTGATGAGGAAGATTGACATACTCACCGATGTTGCGCCGTAAGTTACATAAATTATTTCAGTGCTCTTGCCCGGGACCCGGCTCTCTAGGCCTAGGCTAGTCTAGGCGAGGCATCTCACCCTCTCACCTACACTATGGCCTACTTGATTAGGCCTAGGGCCTAGCCCTATCCAGAGGTTTCATAATCTTTTAAGTTTGTTACAGTATAAGTACTACAAAGTAGTCACTATCGATCTCTGCTGTCAATCTCCGCTGTCTACAGAGATTATAAACTAATAAATGAATTTTTATTATTTTATTTATTAAAAATTGCGGCTTATCAAAATAGGCCAGGCCAGGATAGGCTTTTAAAATAATAATGAAATTACTAAATATCTTCAAAATATTTGATAGGTACTTTATTCAATGGCATTGTTGTTACTATGGTAAATGCATGCATGGATTATACTTGCGCGTGCATCGAATGTTACACACGTACAGTACATGCAGGATTGACGTTTTCCAAAGCAGAGTACACTCTCATTCCAAAAATACGTAAACAAAAAACTAAATGAAGCCGAGAAAATAAGTGGAAAGCCGAATATTATAGGCGACTACAATCAAACATACCAGATGAATTCAAAGTAAATAAATTTTCAACATTTTTATAAATTTCAAATTTAAAATATGAATATTAAAAATGATTAATTTAAAAAATTTATTGTTTTTTACAGCCTACAGAAGAAGAGCTTGCAAACACGTCTGAACACGAAATTGAGAAAGAAACGGAGACATCCGATCAAGAACAAAATGACCAATCCATGTCAAGTGTTCATCTATCCGATTTACTTGACAACAATGAACCATACATCAACAAGACAATCAACGAGTCAATGAAATCACCGGACAATCAGATAATAAATAGTAGTAGAATGTCCGAAAATGAAACGCCTGAAAACTCAATTAGCACTCCCAAAGAAATCGTAAATTTCGAAGAGTTTGATACAGAATTCTCAGCAGTAGACAGCACTCCTGTAGATTGGTAAATCTGCCCCCTAGCCTAAGGCAGAGAGGCCTGTGTATGTGTGGGAGGGAGGGGAGACGCCCCGCACCAACACTCGCACTCTCACCCCACACCACACACCCCCAAACACACGTACGTGCACATTTAGGCTAGTGCCCCGTATCGTTCCACTTATGAACTATCAGACATAATAAAATAAATTTTTCTGATTTGAAATTATAGAGGGCGCTGTTCATGTGATTGTGGTGGTTGGTTGGTTTGGCGGTCACCAGAAATTTTTTTTTACTAGTGTGCGGTCACGCTTGAGTGATTTTAACTCTAATACATTGACTGTTATTTTATCCCATACTGAAAAGGATGACCTCTATGATACACTAACTAAACAAAGGGAAGCATTTTCACTGTATAGTGAACTTTCCAGTTGCCCTAACTTTCACGCAGACATTCATTTAACAAATTATGACCCATTTTTCATACGACCATATTTCGCTACAGACAAAGACAAAAAGAATATTGACACAGAACCAAACAAATTAGTTAAATTGGAAATTCTAGAAATAGGACATCAATCGTACACATCACCTGTACTACTAGTTTCCAAGAAAAACTCAACTGATAAACGTGTTGTTACAGACTTTCGGTACTTAAATTCCAGAATCGAACGTATAAACCACCCATTCCCGCTACTTGTTTGTTTTTGTTTGTTTAATGGTTTTTCTCCAACACTTGAAATTAACATTACATTATTAAGGTGATAACAATATAATAATAGTACAAGGTTACAAAATCGGTGTAAGTACAAGTGAAAATATAGTTATAGGAAGTGTGGAAGGAGGTCAAAATAAGTAAAAAAACTTTAAGACTTGACCCCCTGGTTAAAAAAAATAAATAAAAAAATAAAAATCAGAAGAAGGTACACAAGACTTTAGAACACAGCTTAATAATGATATTGATAATAATAATGAGATGATTATAATAAATAGATAAGTAATGATCAAAGAGAAACTTACTCACCATATATCTGCAACAAAGACTTTTTATAGGTAATCCTGAAACTTGCGAGAGATGGTTTGTTTTTTAAAGAGTGTGAAAGACTCCCCCAAAGCTTAGGACCGGTGTAAAGAATTGAATGGCGTCTGGTATGAAACTCACATTTTTTAGCATAAAAATTAGTAACAGAAAAACGAGTGAAGTGTGAATGAGTATCAGAGGGTTTGTTAAATAATGAACTAATGTGTGCCGGAAGTAGATTGTTGGCTAAACGGTACATAAATAAGGCAGATTGTAGTTGATTAATGTCAAAGACGTTTAATATTTTATAGTTAAAAAATAATTGTTTGGAATGAGATCTGAAGGGAGCCCCTGAACAAATTTGAACTGCATGTTTTTGTAGGTTAAATATTTGATCAATTTTGGTCGTTTCAAAACTTGTCCAGGGGCATAAGTTGCTGAACTTATCCACCGTTACAGCCCAAGAGGTATTACAATAAGATATATAAGGAAGTATCAGAGTGTTGTACAGAGTGAAAAGGATAGTAGCTGGAAGTGTATATTTGAGTTTATTCATTATACCGACGTTTCTTGCCACCACATTAGAAATTCTATTAACGTGAGGTTTCCATGACAATTTGGAATCAATTGTGACTCCGAGAAATTTTGTTTCGTACACACGCATGATTTCTAGGTTATTTATAAAATATTAAAGTTACGAGAAAGTGCTTTGGAGTTCCTATTTTGAAATATAATATAATTTGATTTGGATTGATTAAGGGATAATTTATTAATTTTAAACCAATCAGAAATCCTATTAAGCTCCGTATTAGTTGTGTCCATTAGAGTTAGTTTGTTTTTATGGGAATTCATCAGCATAAAGGATAAATTTAAGATAGGAACTATTGGGAAGATCATTAATATATATTAGAAATAAGAGAGAACCTTGTGGTACACCACATGTAATCGGAGACAGATTGGAATTAAAAGTGGAAAAAGAAGTAAATTGTTGGTGATCTGTCAGATAACATTTGATAAGTTTGAGAGGAAGGCCCCTGACACCATAATGCTGGAGTTTTTGGAGGAGAATATCATGATTTATGGTGTCAATTAAAGGCCTTACTCAGGTCAAGGAAGATACCAATCGTATATTCATTGTTGCTTAAAGCAGAAGTAAGTTTATCATAGAGATCAAGAAGTGCAAGTTCAGTAGAAAAATGTTTTCTAAATCCATACTGGTAAATGAATAGTATACCATATTTGGTAAAAAATGCATAAAGACGATTATAAATAAGGCGCTCCAAAAGCTTAGATAAAGTAAGTAAGAGGGAAATCGGTCTATAATTCGTAAAGTAATGGGGGTCATCTTTTTTGAATATGGGAATTACTTTGGCAATTTTAAGTAAGTTGGGAAAAATTCCCACCTGAAATGAAATATTAAAAATATGGGCTAGCGGTTTAGAAATGTGGTGCATAATATTCTTAATAACACGATTTGAAAACCCATCAAATCCCGGACTTTTGTTTTCTTTCATATTATTAATAAGGATAATTATTTCATTATCAGTCACGGGAGTCAAGTAAAAAGAATTTATAATTGGAGTATAAAGAAAAGATATAAAGTTGGAATTACTGGAAGGTTGTTCAATACCTTGTACAATTTTATGACCAACATTAGTAAAATAATTGTTAAAATGTTGCGCAATAAGTGAGGGATTAGTAATTTTCAAATTATTTAGAAAATAATAAGATGGAAGATTGGGTTTAGTGTTTTTTCCCAGAATACCGTTAATAGTTTTCCATGTCTTATGGATATTGTTAGCGTATTGATTAAATTTATTGGTATAATAGTTTATACAAGCAATACGAAGCAAACTGGTTAATTTATTTCTGAATTTAGTATATTTAACTTTGTCTTTCAGTTTACCAGATTTAAGGTATACGATATACAATTTATTCCTAGTGGAAATTGAGTTGATTAAGCCGACGGTTATCCAGGGTTTCTGTTCCTTACGAAAACTATGTTTAATGCGTTTGGTTATGATGTTGATACTGTACAGGGTAGTTAGCTTATTGTTGAATATATCATAAGCATGGTTTGGATCATTATGAATTTCATAAATTAAAGACCAATCAGTA